ACTTATCTTTCCGCAAACAATCTTGTAAAATCTGTATTGATCTTCTTTATCAATATATATTTTAAATTTGAAAATTGTGTTTGTATTCATCCCCCCCCTTCTACAAACTGTTTAGTATTCTTGTAGACCCTTTTGGGACCAACACTTTTCTATTGATAGCTTCATCTTAGTAGGCATGATTTGAGAAGACGGAGGGTTTGATAATGATGGGTTTCCAACCATTTCTTACAGGAAGTAGACAAGTAATTGTAGAAGATTGAATATGGTTGGTATAAGTTGTGATTTTTGGTTTCATGAGACATCCAATTTATACACATATACATGGTAAAAAATCACACCCTATGGTAAAAAAAAATCCCCCTCAATGGTCAGAAATCGCCCACCTATCCCTAGGGTTGTGATTATGTAGTCAAATATTGAGATATAGTTGTCATAGACTTTTAAATCATGTCTTACAATACTTGTTTTAGAAGCTTACAAGATTCATCTGGAAATCCTGGCCTTGCCCCCATGGTAAAAAATCGCTCCCTACGGTCAGAAATCACCACCTACCTTTAGAATTATCATAGATTTATTTTAACATCTTACAAGATTCATTTGAAAAGGCTGACCTCGCCACCTACCCCTGGAGTTGTCATAGTGTTGTAAAATTGTGTCATAAGTACATGGACCAATGTGTAAATTACTATAGTTCCAAGACCAATCGTGTCATAGTTTTATTCTTTATCCTTCCCTATTTAATGGAAGAGGTTGAAAGATTTATTACTTGTTATCCTTCCCTATTTTCACGATGACAATGGATGAAAGCTCTTCCAGTGCTGGTTTTAAATTTTCTACAACTGACGAGGGATGGGAGAGGCTGGGAGATGAATGGACAAAAAGTCCTCTTGAGTCGAATGTCCATCTTGCTCTTGTTTCTAGGTTCCATCTCAGTGATCCAACCCTCTATAGGCAGTTAGTGGGTTCTCTGGTGTATCTTACTTTTACTCAAGCAAACTTGTCTTATGTCGTATACTCATTTATGCTCCATATTCTAACCATTATGCTGTTTTTTACGGATTCTTCACTATTTCAAAGGTACAATTGTCCATAACCTTCATTTTTCATCATCTTCTTTTGTACTCAGGTGCCGATTAGGATACTGATATTACTGATCATCAATCTACTACTGGTTACTATTTCTTTCTTGGCGATTCTCTTATATGCTGGTGAAGTAAGAAACGATTGTTGACATCTCGTTCGAGCATCGAATTTGAATATCGTGTCCTTGTTGACACTACTTAAGAACTTGTTTAGCTTTGTTGGCTTTTTCTTAGATGTGGGTGCTCCTCAACCCTCTCCTAGAATCCTCTAGTGTGATAATAAGAGCGCTATTCAAATTGTTGACGACGACATGTTTCATGAACGTACCAAACACATTGAGATTGATTGTCATTTTGTTCGACAACACGTTGTGCGCAAATTTATCTCTATTCTCTTTTATTTCTACACTTGATCAACCTGCTTATGTGTGTTACCAAAGGTCCGCTACTAGAGTTCATGTGTTTATATTATATTGTGTGATAGTATAGGGACCAGGCAAAAGCATGCTAAGGGCGCTGCTTACTCCTTCAATAACAGACTCAGTAGCTAAGAAAAGAAGCAAGGCCCGCTACCACGAAGACTTTTTTGTCATTATAGGATAGACACTAGGTTTATTGCTTTGCTTTCCCTTTCTTGTATGTTGTATGCTTCCATCATATTCTGGTGATATAGAGTTCCCATTTTTGAAGCCTTTGCTTACATCAGGTTTAATCTTTAATCCTTAAACGATTTCTTTGTTTTGATATCAAAATCTATATACATACATATATATATATATATATATATATATATATGTAGAGAGAGAGAGAGAGGAGCGATCAAATGAAAACCGCCCTCATTTGTGTAAACCATGTAAACCAATCTCATCCATCTATTTTTTTGATCAATGGTCAAGATTAGTTTAGGTTATATTAGAAAATTAAAAAAATAAATAAATAAAAATAGATATCATGTATATCGTAATATTGATGAAACAAAATCATATATGGTAACTTTGGTAGTGGTAATATTAATGACAACTATATCATGTATATCGTAATATTGATGAAACAAAATCATATATGGTAACTTTGGTAGTGGTAATATTAATGACAACTATATCATGTATATCGTAATATTAATGAAACAAAATCATTTGTAAAATAATATATTAATTTTATGTACAAATATTATAAATAAAATTACATCCATCATTAAAATAGATCAACAATAAAAATAAAACACATTATAATCAATTTAAAATAATGAAACCTTTTGAATAATAATAATAATAATAAATTTACTACTACATTTCATTAACGAAATTGTTTCACAGTTTCATCAAATGAAATGGTTTCATTATTCACTAATTACACAAAATTTTCTTAGAAACCATAAAATGGTTTCACTTTCTTCAATCACCCCTTATATCGGCCAACATGGTTTGATGAGTTATTTGTCATTTCACGCTATTGATAATGAAGTGGTTTCATTGTTTACTATTACACAAAATTTTCTTAGAAATCATGAAATGGTTTCACTTTTTTCAATCACTCGTTATATCGGGCCAACATGGTTTGATGAGTTATTTGTCATTTCACGCTATTGATAATGAAATTGCTTCATTTTTCACTAATTACACAAAATTTTCTTAGAAACCATGAAATGATTTCACTTTCTTCAATCACCCATTACATCGGCCACCATGGTTTGATGAGTCATTTGTCATTTTACGTTATTGATAATGAAATTACAACACTCATATATCCATGCACCAATTTCATGATGCACCCATTTCATGCACCACCCATTTCATCATCATTTTCACTTACTCCATACACCAATTTCACCATGTACGAAACCGGTTTCATGAATATTTTTTTTGGTTCTATTACTGATTTCATTGATTTATTAATCTAATATCTTAAATTTTCATGAATCTTGACAATAATAAACCAAAACACAATATAAATAAATCTAATTTTTAATATTATAATTTAATTAAATATTTAAATGTTACCATTTACAAAATTTACTTTATTATATTACCTTAATTAAGATTTATTAATAACTTCCATATTTTATAGAAAACAATGCAAATGACCAATATACCCTTAATAATTAAATTTAATTAGAAAAAAAATGAAATTTTCTTATTGGTCGAAATTAGTTTACACGGTTTCTAAGAATTGTACGGTTTTCATTTGAACGTGTCCCCTCTCTCTCTATCTCTCTCTCTCTCTCTCTCTCTATATATATATATATATCAAAATCTAAATATATATGTATGTGTATGTGTATATATATATATATATATATGTATATATATATGTATGTATTGTCTTGAGTTGGCACCAAAAAAGATATGGCTCACCAGAGAAGATGAAGAGGGGTAAAGATGATATTAGTCTCTCTTTTAATCGAAACTTTTGGGTTTCCGTCTCTTTGGTGTTTGTCACCGGTGGTTTCTAAAGGGAAGAGGTGCCACCACCATTATTAGACAAGAAGGGAAGGTATATAAGATATAAAATATAGAGTAAACTCTAATTTTGATCCTTGAGGTTTAGTAAAATCATTCAAAGTGGATAAGTCTAGTATTCGTCTTTTTCATGTTCAAATGGCAATCAAAGGTGTTTATTATAATCCCGTGATTATCATTTGAATATGAAAATAAATAATTACTATTTTCTTTTATGATTTTCATTTGAATTGTAAAAAAAAACCTAATTTATAATTAATAAAAATGACATTTATTCATTTATTTTTGTTGATTTATTATACTTTATCTATATTATATTATATATAAAACATTTGACAAAAACTCTTAAAAACATTTTTTATGCATAAAGTACTGTTTATTAATGCATATTACTTAAAATTCAAAATTACAAGTAAATTGTGCATAAGTAGAACTTATTAAAGCTCTATGTTTGACTTTGTGTAACTAACTGCGGATAAACATAATCAAATAGAGGATAAACATCTCATTTTAAAATATAAAAAATCTAAAATATAATTAGGATAATCATTGAGTTCTAACAGAATACTTAATTATTATATTTATAAAAAAATATTATTAAACCTAAATTAAGTTAATTCGTTACGTTAAAGTAAATTATAATAAAAAATTTTAATTAAAAAAAAACAAACAAGAACTTTTAATTAGATAATTTGATACTAATATTGATATTTTTTTGTAAATTTTATATGATATTTTCAAATTTATATTTTATTCATAAATAAAAACATTATCGATTTCTCAAAACCACATAAAATTGTATTATATCGACATAGATAAAAAAATAAAACGAAACATTGAAATAGAAATGTATCTCGATGCATTGCACGAGTACCCTTCTAGTTACTGATTTATTAATATATCAATAGAAAATTATACATCTTTTTCGTTTTATAAGTAACTAATAATTCGGTTCAAGATATTCATTAGAAATTTAGTCATTTAAAATATAAAACCTATTGAATTTATTTGGTTTAAAAAGACTACTTTATTCGATTTCAAAAACTTTAAGGATTTATTTATGCAAAAAATTTAAATGAAACTACGTTGTTTGTAATTTAATGTAAAGTATAAGGACCAAAATTGTAGTTTATAAAATATGATCCTCTACCACGGGCACCACGCGTGTCCAGCCCAATGAATCCAAACTTTTTAAGGTTAACCTCTTTCTACCGAGCTTCCTCTTCCTCCAGACCCGACAGCTGGCCTCTTTATCGTCCCCACCACACACACTTGATATGTGTTCACACCATACAAACACACCCGTTCGCAAATCTATATAACCCTCCCAACCGAACACTTAACTTCACTTACGACTTGAAAAGCATATACTCCCAACAGAACAGAAGCTACCTACCTATGAATACCTTTAACCCATTAATGTTTCCTTCACCGTCACCGGAAAATGCTTCAACATCTGATTGCAGTAGCGGTGCTGGTTTTTCAGAAAGTGACGTCATGCTGGCTTCTGGAAACCCGAAGAAGAGAGCCGGAAGAAAGAAGTTCAAGGAGACCAGACATCCGGTTTACCGTGGCGTGAGGAGGAGGAATTCCAGTAAGTGGGTTTGTGAGGTAAGAGAACCAAATAAGAAATCTCGAGTCTGGCTGGGAACATACCCAACGGCTGAAATGGCTGCCAGAGCACACGACGTCGCTGTTTTAGCCCTCAGGGGGAGATCAGCTTGCCTGAATTTCGCCGACTCAGTGTGGCGGCTGCCGGTCCCAGAATCTAGCAATGTAAAGGATATAAAAAAGGCCGCCTCAAAAGCGGCGGAGGCTTTCCGACAGACGGTGGAGATTGAGGAGGAAACGAAAGAGTTGTCGGAAATTGTGGTTTACGTGGATGAAGAGGAGATGTTCCCTGGATTCCTTGCGAGCATGGCGGAGGGTCTGATGGTGCCACCACCTCAAACGCTGGGGTATGCAGGCAACTATGTGGATAACGTTGAATTTTGTGTTGACGTGTCTTTATGGAATTTTTAGGCCCGTTTAGTACTCTTTTTCTTTTTAGTTATTGTTTTTTTAACCTTAATTTTCATAGACAAAGCTAATTGATTACGTAAATATAGTGAGGACCAACATCACTATCACATTAATTCGAGTTTTAATGTATATTCAATTAATTAAACAAGGATTTAGTCCTTTACTCATGATATGAGAAATGATACACAAAGTTGATTACCAGCAATCTTAATCGACTTTATATCGAATATGTTTTCAAGGGCATATTGTTTCCGCTCACTTAATGGCTGAAGCTGGATCGGACCCGACACATGTTTTCTATTTGGATAAAGTTACGTAGCTCCTTTACCAACTAAGCTACATCCACATACAATTTTGGTCATAATGATTTCTTTAAAGAAACCGGTTCTTAAGTGCATATAGTATTCATGGATCCCTTAAAAATGACAAATGTACAATGTAAAAACGACTTTTTTTATCTGCATTTCAATCAGACGTATGATTTTGTGTCATGACTTGTTAATTATATTATTGGGAGGCTTCACGAGGTTTTTAGGTAGATAGTTTGTATCCATCATGTGATTTTGTAGGAGCCTCAAATTTATATTAGATGAAACTAACCGATATGCATATCAACGCTATCAATAGAATTAGTATCAATTTAAGTTGGTTGGTGTACCAGGTGTGTAAACTTTGTTGGTATGTGATATGAAAGATCCTATACCACTGTATTACCGTGTTGTACCAATTCTGTTAATTAATCCATTACTTATTTATCTAAAGCAAGTTCCGTTATGAACCTAAAATTAATTAAGGACCAATGAACAACCCACAACGCAAAACACGACATAATCATCAGTAATATGGCCATGTTATTCATCATAAATATGTGATTCATGATGAATAAAATGTCCATATTCATCATGAATATGGTACTCATGATGAATATTTTTTTTCTAAAAAGGGACAAGTGGCACGTTGTGGGTGGCCTTTTGGGTTTCTGACTGAACTTTCTGCTATTTCTTTGTTATTTTAATTAATATTTTAATGTGTGATTTAATCAACTCTTGAAGATGTTTGCCTATTGAACATTTTTACTTGACTTCAACTTTTATAATGTTGATACAAATATAATATCAACTGAAAAAACTTAATACCAAGTATAATCAGTTGGTACACAAATCACAATACAATATTTTTCATACCAATCATAATTGGTTGATATACAATATAACTATATAAATAAATAAAACTGATATTATACCATCTTTCACTCCTATAATTTTATAGATTAATAATCCTTAAAAAAATATAATATATGATAATTAAAACCAAAAAACAATTTTGATTTTATGTATCACCGTTTTATTAATGTTTTTATAGTAATAAAGAAATATTTGTTTAAAATAATAATAAAGAAATATTTATTTGTAACGGTGAATATAATAATATAAGGGGGTTTAGAATGGCAAACCGTCCAAATCTAAGGGGTGGTGGAAGTGGGTCCCAGGGTTGATAAAAAGCACGCGTTTTTAATACCAGAAAAAGTGTTGCCAAGTGGCGGTTACTATCAGTGTTCCATCCGCGTATTTTAACTATAAAACAGTGACGTCATATTCAAAAGTCGTTTTTGTCCTTATCTTATCCTAAATTGCCAACAGCCTTTTTATCTGTTCCCAACTTGAGTTTGTTCCCTAGGTTTTGGTCAAAGGTTTGTCTTTTAATGTTCTCATCCAGTTTTCCCATCTTGGTCAAGTTTTAAACGTGGTCGTCTCGGATTACAGAAAATAAAAGAGAGAAAATGACATCGTGTTTATATCGAAAACCCAAACTTGGGAAAACCACGGCGGAAGAGACCACCGAGAAGTTCACTATCACGATGTTGAGTACAATGATTGGAATGAGAAATTACAAAGGGGAGATCGAAGCTTTTAAAACTAATATTTCTTGGTTATGTTAATTTTAGAGAGGAAGTATATTATTGAAAGAACACCATTCACGTAACACGAAAAACCACCATTCCAAGATTAAAGAAACGATATGTAACTTTAGTGTTTGATGTGGCTTGATATACACCTTGTGAGAATATGTGAAACCTCCATATGACTCTCCAATAAAGTCTTAGAGGAGAAACGGGAGGTTACAACATGCATACAAGAGAAATGGTCAAAATCTAGCTGATGTAAGACTCTAACATGCCTAAAGGCGCCAGCCAATTCGCCTAGATCTTTTCATTTTTGCCGCATAAAAACCAATAAACATATATGAATTTATATGCAAGTTTTGGATCTCTATGACTTGCATTGAACACTCTTGTAGTTCCTTTCGGATGCTGACTTTGGAGACAAATTCAACATTTTGTTCTAATTTTTCTTCATCTGCATAACAATTTTGAACATTTTGACGTCTTTCGAGATTTATTTTTGGATACATTTCATAACAATTTGATTGGTAGCTACAAATAGTTTTAGTTTGTATAAGTTTTGTTAGTATTTATAAGGTTTTTTAAGATTATTCCAAGAACAATTTATTCATTTTACTTTTCAGACGAACAAAATAATCTTGTTAAAGTCGTAAGACTGATACTTATTAAGTGGATTTACGATGGACAAAAACTACGGTATACATTAACAATGCGACATGAATATTATTATGTTAATTTGAAATAAAAACAAATATGATGTTGTAAATTGTATCTTTTAATTACCTTCTTTAACAAATAAATTTGTTAAAATCACGTGATCATGAATTCACAACTAATTAGGGGTGAATATTTAGACCGTAAAACGGTATAAATCGTCCACATTGCATGGTGCGATTTTGATCATGAGTTGTGGTTTGCATTTTTATAAAATCGCACTTAACTTTGTTGTACAATCAACAATTTGATGTTTTAAATAATGAAACCGTAGTGCAAACCATACCGTCACACACACACACACACACATATATATATATATATATATATAGAGAGAGATAGATAAATAAAGAGAGAGAGAGAGAGAGAGAGTGAGAAGTATCTTGCGAGAAGTTAAACAAGTTGCGAGAAGGTGAGAGATTTTATATCGTATATGGTTAAGCATTTGTATGTTGTCAATGTAAACGATCAATGAAACAGGTATCCCCGTCACCAAAGTTGTTGTTTTAGACAGAGTATTATCCATGGTTTTGATGACGTTTTGAGTATAAAGTGTTATCCATATTTTGGATGTTTTGGATAATATAATTTTATCTATGTTTTGGATAATAGAATTTTATTTATGTTTTGGATGTTTTGGATAATAGAATTTTATCTACGTTTCAGTATTTTAATATTAAACTTAATTCATATTTTGGCTGAGTATTGAGTTTTGGTTTCATATTAAAATGAGTGATATAGTCACCAAGTTTTCATATTTAATACATTTCATTTTGGAAATAGTGATTTAAATAGTATTTTTTCCGTTTACCGTTTTATATAAATGATGAAAACTGTTTGAATTCAGTAGACGTTAAGCCTAACCATTTTTATTTGTTGGCATGTGCATCAAGTCCTTGTTGGGGAATGGTATTTGCGACAGTGTGATAAGTCGAGCGCTAATTAAAGGCACGTGAAAGAATTAACTATTTCGGGATGTCTTTCATACATTAGAGATAACGACAATTAATGTCTTTTAGTAACACTCATCTCTAATCTAGATTTTGTTTAAGGTTTGGTTTATTATTTGTTGATGTTAAATCCTAAATTGCCATTCTAAGTAATCTAATGTTGATATTTAGAAAGGAATTTATTCCGTAATCGATATTTTACCGAAAATCTTAAATTAGTCGTCTTTTAATTTTAATTTTTTTTTAAATTTAGATAGGGTTTTGTGTTTATTTTAATTTGTTTTTTAATAAGGTAAGACTGAGATGAGTTGTCATCCAACGCAAATTACACAAACACCCTTGTTTTATTAATTTAGGAATGTAATAATATAATTAGTACGATTCACTAAGAAGGGATCTCATGGATCTCATAAATGTTGTGATTCTCAAATGATTAAACCCTTATATGTGTATGTGTGTGTGTGTCAGCTCTATTAAGCACGAGTTCATCCCCACAATACCCTTGATGACTTAGTGTCAACTCTACTAGGCCACAACCTCTAACAAGGGTTCCAATGTCTCACTTCACATGAGCTCATCATTGTAATATCAAAGTCCCGTAGTCCGACTCAACAAGAGAACATCCCCCACTATAGCCACAGTCCTGGAGCGCAACCCAAACAGACTCCTCTTCGCAATACCAACTACCATAATGCCTAAAAAACATTGATCTCAAAACAAGGACATCAAGACTCCTCAAATATCAAAATGACTCACTCAATGCATATGGATCCATTACACTATAGACTAAATTACATAACTCCCAATTGAATGGCTAACATACCCAAAACATGTAATAAATCATAAATATGGAATAATAGCATTAAACATCTAAAACTCCATATTGAGCTATTAAAACCGGACAATTATCCCTATAATCAAGCCAAAAGGACTCGTAAAACATTTGATTATTTTGAATAAAGCCAATGTAACCTCATAATCCTAAAATGCATATTTTCTAATATTTAACAATTACACGACACCTATAACATGAATAAGTCCATAATAACCCTTCATTGAAGATTAATAGGCAAATAGCCAAAACCCGTATGGTTTGTATTTCAAAATCCTATAAAGCCAAGGAAAAACATTTACCAAATATTTATACTTTTATGACAAAAAGGCTCAAGTGTCGCCACCAAATAAGGGTATTAAAAAAAAACCGTTGTACCGTTCAAACCGGCCGAACCAAGTCAAACCGGACCGTTTTTTGCTGTTTGAGCGGTTTGGTTTGGAAAATAGCAAAACCGGGCGGTTCAGTCCGGTCTGGAACCTTTTTTGGGAGGTTTGGACCAAACCGACCGCCAAATACACACACACACACACACACACATATTTTAGTATTAGCAAGCCCAACCTTTTTAACTTATGAGCTATGACCCAAATATATCTCTAAGCCTAACATCCAACATAATTAAGATCAACCCCTAAAACCATTAAACTATTAAACATATCGACACATTTGACATTGACGGTTTCTAAAATTTGAAATCCCTCAAGAACTCTATCAATCCATGGTTTGATTTTGGCGCACATCATCAAGACATCAACCAAATGATTTAACCAACTTAGATTTGGCTTCAATTTTGTTTGGTCAAGAACTCAAGACTCAAGAATAGAACTATTGAAGGTTGTAAAGTCGTGGATTTTGTTACTCAATACTCACAGTGGAGTTGTAACTTTGTTAAATTTGTTTGTTTTCTAATATATATTATATATTTATTTGTTTGTAGTTTGGATTGTTTCAAATTTGTACTCAAGAGCTACTTAATTATTACATTTATTTGTTTAGATATTTTGTTTTGTTAAAATGAACATTTAATCTAAAATTATAAATTATATATGTTTTTTAAGTTTAATATTTGAAGTCCATTAAAGATCCAACGCCTAAACCGGTCAGACCAAACCGCCTTTTCGTGGTCTGGTTTGACCGGCCTGGACACTTGATGTCAAACCGCTCGGTTTGAAAATTTTATAAACCGCCATTACGGTTTGGATGATGGTCTGAGGTGTTAAACTGCCCAAACCGGACCGTGAACACCCCTACCACCAAATTTCATAAGTTGGGTAAAGTCCCAAAACGACATTTGACTCAACATAGGGTCCATAAACCTTTCGGTTTGTTTAACAAATCTAATAAAATTCTTGTTAACTCAAGTCACTTTATTTCAAGAGTCAAAACAATATATTGTACCAAATCATCCCAATATCAAGATAACACTTTTAAAGAAATAAGTGTCCTTTGGGGGTCTCAGAACACCCAAAAAACCATCATAACAATCTTTAACGATTTTATGCCCCAAATATGCCAAAATACAGAAAATCGTAAAACTCTTCAAATATGAACTAAACTCTTAAAAGTGTGTCCAAACCCCAAAATAGATATATTTTGACATCTATACAGTTTTGCAAAGTAACTAGAATTTAACTTGCTTGATTTATGCTAAATCTAGGTTTCAAACTAACCTTTTAGCTTCTTTTGAAGAAAACTTGGGATTTACTAACAAATCAGGAACCCAAAACCCAACACCTAGCTTCAAAGCTTCCCAAAAGATCCTTTCCACTTCAAGGAAACCAAAACCTAAGATAAATGTGGAAGATGATGAACATATAAAACCCTAGCTTTTGGCTGGAAATATTAGAAGGTTACCTTAACCAAGAAAACACGTGGATCTACCAAGATTTTCCTCCACAACCTCAAAACCGACACTACACCTCCAAGATGCTCCAAGATAAAGGCTAGGATGAAGAGATGAGGAAGAATAGCTCGAAATTGAGTTTTAAGGTCACCATTGGCTTTAGGCGGCCTTACACGCAACCTAAGTCACGCGATAGGTTGCCCGCACAAAAGAGTAATTTCGAGGACAGAGAGTAACGTGACCCATGTCGTGACCTAAGTCGCTTGGCAGGTCGCGGGAAGAGATTTTTGTCCACAAATTCGTTTTCTTCGCCTTGATTCGACTCTTGTTCATTCAAAGAGTTTTTATAAACACCCCCCCCCCCCGTTTTAAATCAAGAACATTTTAAAGTCATAAGATCACCATTGGGCTCTCAACGAGTATCCTAAATGCGTCGGGTGTTACGATTTAGCATAGAGACTAAAAAATGTCCCAGTGTTCCCTTACCCTATTTAGTTATCATTAATTTTAACAATGTTTATGTAACATAAAGTTTAAAGTTATATTTATTTTATTTCATAGACAATAAAAATGTGTTAAATAATTTGAATAAATTAT